AAGTCAAAGCTTACAAGAGACAGGCTGAGGAGGCTGTAAGTGAAACATGATTTCTTCCCTTACAGTTCGGTTGGTTCAGTAATTATTTAAAGTAAACTTGTTTTTCAGGAGGATATGCAGTCTTTAAAAAACAGTGTTTTTGTCACTTCCTAGGAGGAGCAGGCCAACACTCACATGTCCAGGCTCAGGAAGGTGCAGCATGAGATGGAGGAGGCTCAGGAACGTGCTGACATCGCTGAGTCCCAGGTCAACAAGCTCAGGGCCAAGAGCCGAGATGCTGGAAAGGTATCTTATTAAATTTTCAGAAAAATTCTGTCTGTTTTTTCAAGAAATTGTATTCCAGATGTGGGAAGGTGCCCCATGACATTTTACAGTTCTTTGGTTTTTCAAATACAGTACTAAAGAATATTTTCTGCTTTGTCTGCAGGCTGACAGCGCTGAATAAGAATCAACACCCACTTAGAACATTTTGACAGAGTTCATAAAATATGAATTGCTGTTGATTTGTGCTTTTTCTGTACATTGATGCAATAAAATATTTAACCAAAATTGCTTTTTGAATTGATTTTTTCCTCTTTTTGGTTATTTTTAAAGGTAATTTTCTATCTATCTTTTTATTCCATAGTATTCAAGTGAGGCTGGTGTCTTTTACTGGGACATGATGTTGTGACGTGGCATTTGCGCATGTAAATTGGCCAATATCCATTTCCAAAAAGCAAAGATTTACAACACTCTGATTGACATTTTGTGAAAAGAGAGTAAACTGTTCTCGAACAGGTTTTTAAAACAGTTTCTACGGCAAGCATGAAAATCTGACAATATTCAATCATCACCGGTTTTACACAAGTTTCAAAGGATTCAATCAGTTCTTCTATTGAGGGAATACACAAATAAATAAGACACTATTCCACAATGTGCACCCACTTTCAGAAATGTCACATTATTTTGAAAATTATATGTAAAAGTATTTCTCCTAAACAAAAAAAGAGCATTTTACCATCTTTCAGCCATCTTCAAACACTTATCGAATGACAAATATTTTTTCTAAATTCATTTGCTACACCCATCACTGCAACTGCAGAGTAGTTAGTCACAACGCTGTGGTCAAACAGAGCCCTATTGGTGTTGATGGAATCAGCACACTACGTAGATACACCATATTAATATTCCATAAGGTGTTTATATTTTTATATTCACAAGGCCCACTCTCCCAGATACAATCCTATTTTTGATCACGCTGTGTAACTTTACCTTGTCTGAAAATGTGAGTAGTCATCAAATAAATTAATCAGTCAGCTTATAAAACCTGATATCTCCTCCACAGCAATCCTCATGGCCATACAAAGACTCAGAGCTGGATGGTTTCTATTTCTGTAAAAGCTAAGAGAGTATTCTAATATCAAAAGGTGGTGAGCTCAACAACATTTCAGTCAATGTTTTTAACATCTCATCTGAAAAAAGGGTGGAACTGACCAGACTGGAAACCCTCATTCACCCAAATTTTACTACCAAAATCATGTTTAAAGATATCAAAGGGAATCTGCAACAAAGGGCAGTCCAGGTTGAATCCAATGTTCAACAGAGGTAGGTTTCAGTTGGGGAATCAATAGAAAGTTTCAGTCTGCTTGTTGAGATGATGAATTGTCTTTTAAAAAACTGGCCAATGTCTCCTGAGGGAGCATCTGAAGAACACCAGAAAGGAACGGGTTAGGGTCTACAATACATGAATATTCTACTTGGGCAATGTTCCATACATTTGCAAGAATCCTCAAGAGTTCTGTTTTTTCACTGATGGAGTACATGAGGCATTGTTTGTCCTGCATCTCAGTACAGATTGCTTTACACAATAACACCATAATAACACCCCCCCTTTTTTGTAAAAACGAACTCTGACTCTGACTGACTGTACAGTAAAAATATCAGGAATTGAGAATCTGTCAACACCAGGAGCCAGCCCCCCACGGACCACAGAGGCTGTCACCACATAACCCATCCAAGTCACCAACCACCCCAACAATGGCGTTCCAGATAGCAACAACCCTACATACTGAGAAGTTATATACCCCGGAGTGTAAGATAAAACAAAAGAACATAGTACTGCTTGTTTTATCATACTTGCACGTGTAAAACTATATTGTGGTCCAACGAACAAAAGTGATTTTTTATTTCCTGAACAATCAGTGTCTTACTCATTAATTTTAAAACAATTTGTTCCATCTGTCTTGCTATTAGGGCTCAATCTAAAAGAACGTCTGACATGAGAGCGTTAGATCCTCATCTGGAAAGACACTCAATGCTTACAGTTGTATGCTCCTATCTAGACAATGTCCTTTTCTGAGAAAGAATTTCACATATCATCAAAATCGACCTTAATTGTAGAGTATTTCTATTACTGCAACTTGGCTTTTTAAATCTACCACTTTCACAGCCTAAAACCATCATAGAAAGTAAACAATTCTACAGTGAAGGCCCAGGTTTATTGGGCAGCTACAACCTTATATGAGACAAGGATAGGACCACATTTGTCTTCAAAAGTCCAGCCAATGCTCCCAAAAATGACCAGATTGTCATTAAAGACTGTTACAAAGAGGTAAACATGGTCCTGTCTCTTTTAAGATGCGAGGCTTCCATGAAATTCAAGATTAGCTTCAGTTTTTGTTCTTTATAGTGTTATGTCTGCCAATCAAAGAATGATTTCTTCCATGATTTCAGGTGTGAATAGATCAGTTCAAAAGGCATTTGAATAGAGCAACAAAACATCTTAACCTGAGTGACATTAACAACTGCAGTACTGAAAATGATGCATTTGGTTCCAATTCATTACCCTGTATGTGTGTTCAGAAAATTTTCATAATTTTGTATTCAATCATGAATAAACTTCTGTAAACATGTGTTTTGTATCCATGGATATTGTTATGAATAGTTACATTAAATAATTTTTTTAGAACAAAAATAAAAATGAGATAATTTGTGTTTACAAATCTTGATAAACATGGGTTATGGTGTTAACAACTTTTCTTAATGTCTGATAAATATATCCATCTCTCTATCCAAACACGAATCACTACTTGCCTAAGCTATATTTATTTTTGACCATGGTAATACCATCATCAGTTATTGCAAGATTGCAATCTATGAGCCAAGGCGATACAAACATGGAAATGAAAGTTGACCTTGTATGTGATCACAGATATCCATTTCATTAAAAGATTTGTCAGTCACTCATACTATCAAATACTAATTCCATGAACTCTATTTTGTGAGGAATGTTTTTCTTGGTAAATCATATGATTTCAATTGTCTGATTTAAATCGTGTTAAATCATCTGATCATCCGAGTTAACAAGAAAATATTTTCATTGGAATGGCTTTTGTGTAGCTCTAATACCTTTTAGGAATGCCTGCCAGCAATGCATCA